CCTTCGTTTTTTTCGCGACACCGTTCGAAGCGTCCCACAAACCCCGAAACGGGACATGATGTGGTCGAGTCAATCGCCACCCACGCTTTATCTTGCCCTGTCCGATGATTACTTCTTGTTCCTTCGTCCTGTACGTGTATCCTTTATCTAGTACCGCTGCTTTTCTTTCCGTTGCAAAGAAAAAAATGTTTCATATGCCGTTGTAACGACGTAGAAATTATATCTTTTGGGCCATTTTAATTCAGAACGTCGGTTGACGCAGTGGGGCGATAATTTTAAAAAGAACGGTCTGTAACCAGTTCACAGTTCAATGATTAATGCCCTCGCAATTACATGAACGGGCCAGAAAAACACGGAAAATTTTAAGAGAGTTAGCAGCAGTCTTATTTCTTACTGTAACGGTGAGTCAAATTACTTCTCGTTCCCATCCGGTCAGAAAAATGAGATTCACCGAGGTGGATTCTCAAGTCAATCACATATGTAAATCAAATTATAATAGAATGTTTATTACCATGGTATTAGAGTACTCGTGAGTGTGTATGTATGTATGAGATAGAAAGTGAAAGAGAGAGAAAGAAAGAAAGAAAGAAAGAGGGAGAGAAAGAAAGAAACAGAGAGGGAGAGAGAGAAAGAAACAGAGAGGGAGAGAAAAAGAGACGGGGAGAGAAAGAGAGAGGGATAGAAAGAGTTGGATAGAAAGAGAGGGATAGAAAGAGAGAGAAAGAGAGGGATAGAAAGATAGGGAAAGAAAGAGAGAAAGAGAGAGAGAGAGAGAGAGAGAGAGAGAGAGAGAGAAGGCGTACATGCGTGTACTCGTAAGCCAATGCATGACTGTGAGTGTTCAAAGAGCGTATTTCCACATCTATGAACTTCGTACCATATTTTTGCAGAAATTTTTGTGATTACGATAATGTCATTCACGTTTCATGTTCAGGGTATAATCTCTTTTAAAAATGTGATAAAAAATTGCATTTCTGTATATCAATTTTTATTATGCATAACAATGGACTAAGAAGGTTGCGCAAAAAAGTACAAAAACACTTGGCAATGAACACAAATTATTCTCAATTTGGTATTAGTAATAATATGGCAATGCAAGTAATATTGCAAGTAATAATTATGGCTTAGATGAACGCTTTACCGCACAGTTTTAAGAGAATGACAATTCTCTTAATTCTGTTAATTAAATGTAATTGATAAGTGAATAAATTCTATTAATCACTTTTTTATATTTTATTTCAATTTTCAATATTTTTTTATCAGTAATACTTTGGTTTTGTATTTTTTCCGGTCCCTTTTCATTTCCGTCTCATCACTTTTACATCTTATTGCGAATAATTGTAGTCTAGACTAGTCTTACAAGGAACTAAACTCAATTGGAACGAACAAATTAAAGAGCCCAATAACCAACTCCATGAAATATGATGACAAGTCAATTTGGTTCCATCGAGTCAGGTAGAAAGCAAGTTTTCAATGAAACTCGACCACATTTCTTCTAAACATTTAAGTGTGAAAAGCGCGGAGTGGAGCAGACATCGAACCCCGCACATCCCACACACAACGTGCTGCTCCGCACAGATTTTGCCCAAAGAAATCGCGCAGCGCCGTTGGACGTCGCAGAAGTGCCCAGTCAGCCTGAAAACAATGAGCGCGAAAGAAGCGACGGAGAAAGCGCCTGGCGGCGGG